CACCATGGCAACTGGGCCCCAACGCAACGGGCATGGAGGTGCAGACGAGGGTTCTCTCGCCCGTGGATTAACCTGCCATCGGAGACGGCCAAGTCGAGGCCGCGCTTTGATTTGCGCGTGGAGTCGTAGTTAAGTAGACTGACTAACCGGCCATGAAACCAACTCCTGGACGACGCGGGTGCAAGGCGAGAGTGCCAGGCGGTCGCGGCTTCCAACCTCGCTTTTCAAGGGGTCGCGAACGCGCGCCCGACTTGCGCGGCGAACGGGGGCCGCGAATTTCAAGCCAGGCGGGCAGACGCCCAAACGAGGCAGGGGCCAGCAAAAATGAAGGGGAGGAGGAGAAATATCAATGAATACCAGGAGCGGAGAGGAGGGAAGGCCGAATGTGCGGAGGGGGGGGGGGGGGGAGGGAGGACCCGCCGAAGTTCAACGCCCTCCCTGCTGAGGGGGCGCGCGCGGGCCCCCTGGGCGAGCGGGTTTTACGGGGCGGCCGGGCCGCGCGTCGACATCGTCGCCCGCGCCGTGAACTGTTTTGCCTTGCATGTGCTTGAAGGCGGAAGAATTATCGTTGTCCCTGCCGGCGAGACGCGCGAGCGCGCCGACGACTGGGCGGGGGGCGATGCTGGGCGACTTCGCGGTAACGTTAGCGGTCTTCTCGGAGGCGAATGGGCCGGCTGGGCCGAGCTCGAGGCGGAGGGCGGGGGCGCCGACGCCCCAGGAGAAGAGGCGAGAGGACGGGCTAAAAGGAAGGCCGATGAGCACAGTGGAGTTGCGGCAGAGACTGAAGAGGCATCGGAACCAGGATTAAAGAGGAAGGCCGAGGAGAGAGGCGATGAGGAAATTCCGAGAACTGAGACTGTGCAGGAGGTATGGACAGGATTCGGGAGGAAGCCAACGGAGCGCCACGGGGGAGGACAGAAGGGAGCACCAGGCCAACAAGTTACCGAAACAAGACGAGGATGACGAGGTGAATGAAGTGTGGCGAGTTTTGCGCCTTATGTTGTTGGCTCTGGTGGATTGGCCCATCAGCTCGCGCATGGGCGGTGAGCTCGGCGACGTCAGAAGGGCAGTTTGACCTGACAAGGAAAAACAGCAACAAGTCCATCTACGCGCTTCCAAGGCCCATTCGCCAGCTCGCGTTGCCTGCATGGCAGATAAGTTGGGGCTGACGCCCGGACTGGCCATGGATTCAGCCGCGCGCGATGGGCGCGGCAAACCGTGGGGCTCCAGCAGCGAAGCCATGGGCGCAAAGGCCAATATATGGTCAAAAACAAATCCGCGACGCCACTATTTGTCAGCCCTACGCGCGCTGCTTCCAGCCAGTTGCAAGCCTTTAGCGCCGCGAGACTGGGGCCCGGGAAGACGGCGGAAATGGTCAACTACGGCATCGAGCGCTTAATGCTTGTTTTGAATTTATGATGCGGGGTACAGTGCAGTCGCAGACGTGACCCCTCACTTGAACATCTCGTCGGGGCCTCGAGTTGGAACGCCGGCCCCGCGCAGCGCGCGTTGAAGCCGGAAGGCGTCGAGATGCTCGAGGGCGACGCGCGCCGTCGCCACCTCCGGCAGGAGAGGCGAGGAGTGCCACTTTAAAAAGGCCACTGTATTTCTGATCCGGGCGCGGCCCGGGCGCAGCCCGGGAGATTCCCCCATGGTTCTCAGGATCTCCCCAAGAGGGCCCAAAGAGGCACCCAGCGCGGCCCAAGAGAGGCCCGAGACGCCCGGAGATTGTTCCACGACGCCCAAGCTGGCATCCAGACGGCCCAGGGGGCTTCCAAAATGGCCCTCGAGGCCTCCAGGAGCACTCCCAAGAGAACCCACAGAAGCAAACTTCATTGCTTTCCCTTAGGTTTGAATCAGATTTGGGGGCTTCCACCTGTTCGACTTCCCGACGCTCCTAGACGGCTCGAGAGGCCCCAAAGATCACCCCAAGAGGGTCTAAGAGGCCCCCAGGAGGGCCCCAAGACGGCCAAAGGCGGCAAGGAAAACCTCGAGATCAATCAGAGCCCCGAATCATCAGGGGTAACTCGGGCCAGGGATAACTCGGGTTCCTTTTTCGGGATTCCGAACCCGAGTTACCCCGGATATTTCGGGCGTCCAGAGCCCCAAAACCATCAGGGGTAACTCGGGTCAGGGCTAACTCGGGTTCGTTTTTCGGGAACCCAAACCCGAGTTACCCCGGGCCCGAGTTACCCCGGATAACTCGGGCGTTCAAATCAACGAGGTGAAGTGGGATGTAGGAGCCGAGGAACACAAGGGGGTCATTGCCAGGGGCAGGGAAGACCATGGCGCCACGAGGCATATTACCAGTGGCGCAGGGACCACTGGAGCCCTTGCGTTAATCGAACCACGCGGGACATCGAGTCGAACCAGATTGCCGAATACAGGCTGGTTCACGAAATCGCAGGGCGCGAGAGGGGCGGGGAGTTCAGGGGGGGAGATAGGAATATCATCGCCACGCGTATTCACCGAGCTCCCCGCGATGCCGAACCCCACCGCGGGGGGCGCAGCTCTACTCCTCATCGCGGATGGTCAAAGACCCCTGCGCCGTGCCAGGAATGCGGGGATGCGTGGACGGCGCGGGTTGTTACCGGGCCCGACGTCTGCGTTGTTCGCCGAGCTGAAGGCGGCAAAGCCTCTGCTTGGGATGGCGCATCCGGAAGTGCCCGGCATTTGCCTTCGCGTTTCACCGGGGGGAGATGGGGCAGCTCAGGGAACGCGAGGTCAATGAGAAGGCGATGGAGGTGGCAGGGCGCATGCGAGCAAGGCCCCGGCGGGCAGCACTGTGATTGATCTTAACAGAATATCGAGTCCAATCTTGATTATCGATCGCGACTGGTGGCCCGACAAAATATGCGCAACTCCGAGGAGAAGTATATTTTCGCGGAAGCGGCCTCAACGTAGATTTCGCCGGCGCGAAGCGCGCGCTCCCACGCTGAGGCCAGGGAGGACATCTTCGTCAAGTAACCCGAGGAGGATGCTGCACCTAGTCCGCGTGGCCCGTTACTAATGTCGATGTGCGTCGCGCGTGGGGCCGCCAGCAACTGAAGGGGGATTGCTGCATGGGCTGCGCGTGCGGCATTGGATTTACGGCGGCGCTGCGTCGCCGCGAGTGTTCAAGCACAAGGCCCGCCAGTGGTGGCTTACAGTGCATGGGGTGACTTTACCTCCCTGGGCATCGACGCAGCCCTTAACTCGGTCAAGTACGAAGGCCTGAACTAGGCCTGCACTGGGGGGGGCCTACCTTGCTGGGCAGCGAGAAGGATGTCAAAACCAAGTCCGAAGTTGAAGTGCGAGGGCGACTTCGACTGGAGCCAGATGATACAACATCCACCCGCGCGCTAAACGGAATCGCGGGCTGGACTCGCGATGCGTTGCGGCGCGAGGCTGATCGAGGCCGCGCGGATAGATGTTCAAGTTTTTGGGATCAGACCGACATAAGGATAGATGCGAAGCTCCCGACAGCTCGCGCGCGGGGAGGGGGGCGAGGGGCCCTTGCCATCCTATGTAATAAAATTGTATCAAGCGTTGGTCGCGCGTGCCAGTTGCCTTGCCGATCAGACATCCAGCTCTCCGTTGAAGAGCAGGCAAGATCTGCGTCTGCACCTGCTCGCTGTTCGTGGAAAGGTTCACGCAAGTAGGGGAATTGCTTTAAACGCCATTGCCTTTTCTGGCCATCGGTGCCCCTGGCAAGACAATCCCAGGAAGCGGACCGCCCGGACAGACGCCGGCTGCGGGGATCTCATCTCGCTGAAACTTGGACGTGCGGGCGTAGGAGGTCACGCCGGTCAACGAGTGGTGGTGCCTTTATGTGGGGGTCTCAAATCAGAGCGTGGCTGCCCCGTCGTCGAGGGAGGCGGAGTATTGCGGCATGGTCAAAGGAGCACCAGTATATTTTGGTCGACAGTCAGTCTTGAAGGACTTGGACTTTGCATCAGCTAAGTATTGAAGAGTCGCGCCAGCGCAGCAAATTCCGTCGCAAGGAGACGTGGACTTGGAAACGTCAGGCATGTGAGAGTTTGCCAGTTGTGGTCATAATATACAGTACGACGAGGAGACATTAAAGTAGCCTCATGAGAAAGTGGCACATGCATTAATATAATATGTAAGGCATGATGAAATCTTGATACCTAGGAAAAGTTCAATCCAATACAGCACCGAACAACGGCACGAACTAGCACACGCTACGGAGCGCCAGTGACGCGTTTAACCGCGCGGTTTCGATTCGATTTCGAGGTCCTCTGAAACCACGGTGCTCATGCCAACTATCTGCGACCATAAGTTACTGAACGACAGGGACAACCCAGTTAACTCACGTACATCGTGGAGTCCGGCCGCCCTTGCAGATCAGGCGCCACCCACACAGAAGACGTCGGATAACAACGCCTGTTCGTCTTCAACCAGATCTTGCACCCGAGATCTTGCGGTGCTATAGTTACCAGTGTTGTTGCCTTTACGACTTCCGATGCCAATCGCATTATTTGCTTAGGTTCGCTTGCGTTGTACTGTTTTCCTCCAAGTCTCCACAGCCGGTAATTACCTCGAGCGTTGCCGCCGGCATCGGCCGATGGGGTGTGCAAAGCCACCCCGTACCAACGCCCCGAGGAGTTTACCTTGATATGTCTGCAATTATCTGGGACAGCCTTCTGTTTGGACAATTGGCTTAGCAGCAAAGTAGAAATGTCAGGTGTTGGCGTTACCGCCAGCATCTGGCTCAAGACCGATCGGTTGCGCTCGATTCAAAGCACCGTTTCCTCGTAATTTCCTGTTTCGGGAATTGACTGGAGGGAGGATGAGGGACGAAAATGAAAGAGCGGAAGGAGAGGGAGGACGAGGGAAACGAACAACGAAAAGCGAGGATGAACAACAAAGAATAAGTGGACGCAACAGGTGCCAGGCCCGCTTTGAGAGCGGAGGGAAGAAGGTTGAGAAGAAGGAGGACGGAGGGTAGGACTGAGGGGGCCCACTCCTCCTCCTGTCTTGCCTCCTCCCGCGCGCAGGGAACCTTTCAACCCACCGCGGACAACCACTTCGGCGACATCGCGGCCGCACTAGGCCGTGGGGGCAGAGGAACCAGCGAACCGACCAGTGCAGAAACCCCCCTGTCTGGTCGACCACGCCGCCCGCAGGAGGCGCGAGGCCA